CAAAGATGCCGAGCGACAGCTTCTGTCCTTTGGAAACCCAAGAGGTACCTTTCTTATCCGCGAGAGCGAAACCACCAAAGGTATGATAAGGAGTTGAAGAAGTTGGCTTGTCATTCAGATCTTGGATTAGTCAGAGGGGATGAAAGGCTTACCTCTAATGTACATGGATTTTTAAAATGGCACGTCTCCTCCCGGCCCTGTGAGTGGAGTTCTGCTTGTAGCTTCCACTGGAGATTCTGGACCGTGCACAGCGCCCAACCGCAGAGACTCCATGCTGAGGTTTCTTCCTGCGCTGGACTCAGGGCAGCCCCTTGTGCCCGATGTGCGCATCTCGGAGTTTCAGATGTCCTTTAGAATTAAACTCTTCATTCCTCGGACACTTCATATGGGTTGTTTTTGTTTTCCTTTTGTTTTTAGTAACTGAGGACTTTTGTTCTTCCTTTGTGTTATTTAAGAACTCATTAAAGTCCATAAGAAGAGACAGGTCAAGGGGGAATAGTGAGTGGTAGACATTGCTGATGCCTGTACAGTATTACACAGCAGAACTTTGAAGCTCACTCTGGATCTTGCCCATGGATTTCCTTTGTACAGGCTGCCAGCCTTGTCTCCCCCTGGCCCCCCAGGAAGAGGACCCCAGGGAGGCACCCAACCAGGATCCAAGGTTCCTCCTGATCTTCCCCTGCAGGAATTGGGCCTGTGCTATATTAGGGAACACAAGTGCACCGAGGAGAGGATGTTAAAAAAAATAGCTGGGAAGCTTCCAGTCTCAAGAGCAAAATTATTTCATTGCTTAAAAAAAAAAAAAACCAGCAGTGGAGTGTGTGTTTGGTGTGTGTGTGTGTGAGAGAGAGAGAGAGAGAGAGAGAGAGAGAGAGAGACAGAGACAAAAAGAGTCCATGATTATTATTAATCGGAATAGTCAAAAAACAAAATAATACTCAAAATAATAGGTGCTGCTAATGCTTTGCATATTTATTAGGTGCCTATTCACTTTCTATCCGTGATTGGGATGATATGAAAGGAGACCATGTCAAACATTATAAAATTCGCAAACTCGACAATGGTGGATACTACATCACCACCCGGGCCCAGTTTGAAACACTTCAGCAGCTTGTACAGCATTACTCAGGTAACCTTAACTCTGACTACATATTAGTCGGCTTAAATAGTGGAGGGCTGGTTAGACATAGAGCTCCAAAAGGGAAGGGGAAGGGAGGGAGGTATAACAGATATGCATGAAGTCTAGTAATGTTGTTCTGTTCTCTTCTGTTTTGCCTTGTCTTGCCAGCCCCTGAGGGGGGCATGATTGAGTGGTGCTATTATTGTTTGTGTCAGTTGTCATGAGCTCCATGTTTGTAAGAAGATTCTGTGTTATTGTGGTCCTCTAAATAGAAAGCAGTAGGTTTAAATCTTTATAAAGTTGTTCATTTTCATCTCCTTCCTCAAATCTTCTCAAGTGACTTTTGCCACTCCACTTCCTGCAAAGGGCAGAAGACAGGGCTGCTGGGCGTGCACTTCCTGGGGCCTCCTCCAGGGAGCGGCCCTGCTCTGGAACGCTGGTTCGTGCTGTCACTTCACACTCAGTTCTGCTCCAGGATAGAAAATACACATTTCCTGCTGGTGACAAGGAGAACCAGCGACCCATTTATCAAGCTCTGCTTCCCCCCAGTTTCCATTTCCTAACTAGACCAGGACTTGTGTGACCCACGGCTTTTTCATGTATTGCAACTAGGTGTTAGCCTTTTTAAAAGTAGCCTACTCCTGTCCTGACACCCACGTGTCACACTTATTTTGTTATTCCTGGGGGGGAGAAAGATTAGGTGAGATAGGTGTGTGACTTGTACATTTTTTTAGAGTAAAATTATTAAATTGCTTGCTTTCTTTCCTTGGATGGCAAACAATACATATACAGCTGTGGATACAACTATGAATATACATGTACAGATGTAGGTCTGTATCACATGACGCCCAGGAGGTTCTCGTGTGACCCGTATATTTGGCATTGTTCTCACAACAATGGCACAAGTCCAGAATAGTGTCGCTTTCTGCTGTTGCTCTGCACATTCATTGAAAAATATGTGTGGAAGGGTTTTTAGCGTAGAAAATAATCTTTTGAAAGCAATTGTAAGAACTGTCTGTATATGATCCTGATCATTAATGAGCAATTGAAAACATTAATGTACTTGGCACTGGTTGGTTCAGACACTGGCTATCTTGTTTTATGTGATTCTATTGAAATATTTGAGAGAAACAATGCAGAATATCTCCCTAAGCTTAAGTGACATACTCAAAATGTCTGCATGTTTTAAGGCTTTTTCAAAAGCTGAAGTGTATTTCATTCCAGCCACACATCAGCAGGATCTCCAGGGTTTGGATCATTTGAAAATACTGTGTTGGAAAGGGCAGCTGACTCACATCGTAAAGCTGGAAGGAGAGGTGGAATATGAAGAGCAAGAGACATTTTTTTAATCTCAGGGGAGAAAGACCCTCTTAATAAAAACCAAGTTAGATTTGTTTTGCTGTTGGCTTTCTTCTTCCCTCTTTCTCTGTTGCACATAAAATGCCTTTGAAATATTGACACATAAATAATTTCCTGCCTAAGCCTCTTGGAACCTGATTCCATCAGACAAAAAAAAGAAAGAAAAAGTGAGTTACGGTCAGTTCCCAGAGAGGAGGCCGCAGTGTCGCGCTGCCTTTGCCTGGATCCAAGCTTTCCAGGGAGAGAGGGCTCTCTGCAGGCAGCTTGATGCTACTTGGTGGCGCTCTGAGTTCTTCTTCATTAACTCTTCTCACCTGATTTTTTTTTAAATAAAAGAAAATTTATTTGAAGATGAGAGGAAGGTGTAAGAGAGGGACGGGACAGACAGCTGCTCAAGATGAGTAGAGTTTCAAAAGTGAATAATTCTCCTGATTTTTAACTTGACATATATCCAATTTCCCTACCATGGCTATATCCTAGAAGGTGTGCTCTTTTAGAAAAGAAAGAAGGGAGGAGTAACCCCCCTGGAACCTCTTGAGTGATAACTACTGTTTTCCTTCTTCAACATTACCAAGTTTCTGCAAATGTTAGTTTCCATTCTTTCTCCTTTCAATCCAGACTGCTAAATTACACATAGGGGACTATTGGGAGGGTTTTTGTTTTTTTTAATGGAAAATCTCAAAGAAGAAATGCAAGCATATCTGACTGGTAGGATAGAATCAGAGTGCCAAAGAAATATTCAGACAAATGTGACATCTTTTCCCTTACTATAATATTGTCTTATTTGTTCATAAAAGTCCAATGTTTTATTAAAAAATCTTGCATTCAAGTTGTAGCTTTAAACATACTCATACCAGAGAGATCCCCGAGTCCCTAGGAAATCAGATACTAGAGGGGGAGAAGGACAGTCCTGTAGACGTGCTTTAGCCAAAATGTACTTTTTTAAATCATCAAGGTCAACGTTAGGGTTCCAGAACACGTCTTTAGCACCTTGAGCTGAAAACTGTTTTCTTACTTAATGAAACCAGAAACCAAAACATGCTGTGTCTGTATCTGTGTGTAGACCATATCACGCCTGGTGACATGGGGCAGTCCTAACTGAAATGCCCTCTGTCCTGCTTCCAGTGGATGTGTGTCACCATGCGGCATCTAATCTGGGCGTGCATAGTTGTCTGTGTGCCCCGTGCACTGTGGGGCGTGGGTTTGTACCTGTACGTGTTGTTGTTACATGTATTCTGCTCTTCTCTCCTCTCCTGCTGCTGCCCCGCTCCATCAGAGAGAGCCGCGGGTCTCTGCTGCCGCCTAGTAGTCCCCTGTCACAAAGGGATGCCAAGGCTTACCGATCTGTCTGTCAAAACCAAAGATGTCTGGGAAATCCCTCGAGAATCCCTGCAGTTGATCAAGAGACTGGGAAATGGGCAGTTTGGGGAAGTATGGATGGGTATGCTGAAACTCATTTATTCTTATTATTAGCTTCCTGGTTTGGGAATCCCAAACATCAAAGATGGAAGGTGAAAATAAAGCCTTTGTGTCCCCAGAGAGAGTTTAGATTACTCCAAATGGGGAATAATGACTTCTATTGCAAAATTCTACAATTTGTAGATAAAAAAAAGAGACAAGATTGGCAGAACACCCAGGTGATGGTGCTGTTTCATGAGCCTCAGTTGGTGATCCAATAAATGGTAGGAGGTGTGTTCCGTCCTCCGTAACACATCCTGCCTCTGTTTCCAACAGCTCATATTTGTTGAAGGTCGCCCAGTAGGGCAAGTCACCTTCCATCTTTCCTAGTGCATGCATGATTATGGATTATAAGGACTGTGTTTTCTTTATTAATTCCCTTTCCTGTAGAGAAAGCTGATGGTTTGTGTTTTAACTTAACTGTGATTTCATCGAGTTGTGCCCCACAAACTTCTGGATTGGCTAAGGATGCTTGGGAAGTTGCACGTGACTCGTTGTTTCTGGAGAAGAAGTTGGGGCAGGGGTGTTTCGCTGACGTGTGGCTTGGTAAGGCAGAGGGCACATTTTGCTTCGGCTGCATCTCAAAGCCAATTACAAGGACAATTTCAATCAAAACAAATACACATAGGTATTGGGATAAGGACACTTAACCTGGATAACGAGGTGGCCACGCGCCATCCAGATCTTCAGGATATGGTGATACCTGGCTGTGCTCAGCTGTCCTATGCAATGTGCTTAATTAAGCACCTGCTTGGCACCTGTGCTTAATTAAGCACCTGTTCGAACCCAACATGCTATGAATGTGGTATTGTCCTAAGAAATGGGAAGGTAAGACACTGTATGTGGGTAGCAATAAAGACCATGGGTTGTTTCCTCACTGGGCCTGGTTGAAACCTTATAAGCTGATTAATCATTAATAAGGGATTTATTTAATATCTTTGAGCCTCAGTTCTCTCATCTGTAAAATTGAAGTGCTACCTGCTTCATAGGATTGTTTTGAGGATTATGTGGAACAATATGTTAAAGTCCCTTATAGATAGTAGGCAGTCCCTCAGGATTGCTTTTATAACCACGGTGGGTCATTTGCAGCTTTGCTTAGAGATGATCAGTGAAATTAGGCTCCACCCGAAAAACATTTGTCAATAAAACAGTATTAAAACTTATGGAATCTCTGTTCTTTAGAGTCTGTTAAAAACAAAATAGATAGGCACCTGTAGAGATGTTCAGGCCAAAGGGGGGTTGGTGAGTAGTAAGTGCTATACAGATGTATTTACAGAGAGTGATAGACAGATAGATACATACATTAATAGACAGCAGACTTATACACACTGAGAGACACATATACATGCATGCATTCTCTGTTATAGTAAGCAATTAAGGGGCCGGGGAGATGGCTCAGTGGAATAAGTGCTTCCTGGGCAAACGCAAGGGCCTGAGTTCAATCCCCAGTTCCACAAAAAAAGCAATTAAGATTATTCTCCTCCTTTAGACTTCATTTGAAGTACTGTAAGAAATATTTGTATTTTCTTCCCCATTATTCACCCAATTCGTAATTGAAAATGTGAATTTAAGGATTTTAATCAAATCACTCACATAGGCAGGAAGAATTGAGTCCAATGAGAAAATTTATTTTCAAACTTTTTTAATTATCGATTATAAATCGTTACCCAGACCCCTAAGACTTATGTCCCGTGGAATGTAAAAGGACACACCACTGGAATCAGTAAGGGTGCCTGCCTCATCACCCCGATCGCTATTTGAGAGGAAGATCTCACAGGACTTACATTTGGAGGTGGCCAAGATTTCAGCCACAAAGTACTGCACACTGTCAGACTTCCCCAACTCAGAGAGATGGATATTTCATGACATTAACACAGACTCCTTTAAGGCCCTCCTCCTTCCGTAGTTTATCTTCTCGTAGGTTGCAAGTAGTTATAGGAACCACATTTTAACAGGGTAATAAAAATTGCTCTGATTTATGTAATCCCTACGTCCTAAAGTCGTAGATTAAATATAAAAATGGATTTTAATTTACACTAGTCTTCTCTATTAAATAGAAAATATCAACTTTTTCTTTTCTCGATAAAATTATCTTTCAGAGCCAGGTAAGGCGCTGCATGCTTGTAATTGTAGCACCTGAGAGGCTGAGGCAGGAGGATTACTATGAGTTTGCGGGCAGCCTGAACTGCATAGCAAGACCCTGTCTCAAAAAATAAAACAGATAATAAAACTATCATCAGCATCACAACTAACAATAGAATGCACACAAAACACAGAATTTGGTTTGGTTTGGTTTGGTTTGAATTTGGAAACTAAAAGAGATTAAACAGATAATCCAATCCCATTCCTGTATTTTACAGATGATATAACTGACTATGACCATGAACTGGCCCTTGCCTTTGGATCAACTAGCTATTTTAACCTGGGAAATCTAAACATTTCTGTTTCTCCCACCTGCTGTTTAATTTTCCCAGCCCACCTGATAGAAGGGTTGCTCTTGTGGTAGCTGACCATGAGGAAACCTGAGGGATGTGCCTTGCCCAGGGGAAGTGCCAGCAAGGAGGCTGGGAGCCCTTGCTAGTACTTACCTCATGCTTAGCTCAACTGCTCAAGGACTCAGTCGAGTAGCTCGTCCACTGCGAGCACTTAAGACCTAGTCAGTTTCCAAGCATCCTCAGGTGCCCCATAATGTCCTTCAAATGGTGCAGCCCATGAAATGGAACTTAGTGTAACTTCTTCCGTGCTCACTCCATGACCCAAGGACTGGCTGTCGCACTCTCAGGACTGTTCTAAGCCTTGTTTCACTGTTAAACAAGGGGTCCAGTACTTTTGATATAAATTTGTAAGCTGGCTCAGACAGACAGATAAAAATTGAAAATAGTAAATAATACAGCCCTAGCCATGACTGAATTCATGTTTCCTATTGCAGTACCTCTACAGAGTCCTTGCAGTTGACTGTTTCTGTTCATAAAAACCATGTTAGGTTTTTAAAACTTAAAATCTAGCTTTAGCTATTAGTGTACATAGCTATTAGCCTAAAACTTTTTTTAAGGAGCTTTGGTTTGACTTAATGTTGTGGGGTATTTGTAGGTACCTGGAATGGAAACACAAAAGTAGCCATAAAGACTCTTAAGCCAGGCACAATGTCCCCGGAATCATTCCTCGAGGAGGCACAGATCATGAAGAAGTTGAAGCATGACAAGTTGGTCCAGCTGTACGCGGTGGTGTCTGAAGAGCCCATCTACATTGTCACCGAGTATATGAACAAAGGTGGGGCAAAGCTTCTGCCATCTCCACCCCACACTGACTTCCAAGGCCCAATTCAGGCAAACTTAGCTGCCTGCTCGCGCTGGTCCCGAGTTTCTGCAGGTGTCCAGTGTTCCCATCAGGAGGCATCAGCTTATGCTCATTAATGAAAGTGCTTTTAAAGGAGTCCAGCCTTGAGTTTACCCCTGTCTTTGTGAAGTGCAGGCCATTGGTTGCATGTTACACACATCAGGAATTCAAGTTTCTCTCTATAATTAAAGCATTCATTTTAGTATTAGACATGCTATAGAGGCTTTGACTTGGAATGCAGCAACTTCTGTTAAATTTCCTTTTTTGTAAGGCTAAACAATATCAGGCACTGATTTCTCGACTAAGTTTAGTCTCCATCATTTCAACATCTTTGTTTTTTTCTTAGCTCTCTTCTTAAATATCAGATAAAGAAAAGACATGCATTTTCTTCTGTGTGTGTGTGTGTGTGTGTGTGTGTGTGTTTATAATCAAACCAACATTGTTGGGGATAAGGCCAGAGATCACTTTGTTTTGGAAAAACAGATGAACAAAACAAGAAACAGCCTTAAAAGGCAATGCATTGTACATCAGAAGACAGCAGTGTGTTTTTCTTTGCCATGTACTTTATTTTAAAATATAAATGGAATTTTTTTTCTGGCAGATTGTCCTTTGTATCCAGGGTTATTTTGTAAATAACTTTATGATTAAAGCATTAACAATCACTGATGGCCATCATGAGCCTCCAGCTTTTGCAAGTGATTATTCCTGTCTGGGTGCTTGCTCAGATCCTCCTTGGGCTGCCTTGCAGCGCAGGCTCTGAGGCCAGCTGCTTTGTTTCACATGTTTGATTTAAGGCTTGGCCAGCCGTGATCTAACGAGGGGGAGCTCTCTGCCTCTCAAGTATTTCTCAGGTATCCCTTTCTTGACTTAAAATCTGTACACAAGCTAGGGCAATCATTCTCAAACTTACATTGTACAAGAACCACCTGGAGGCTTCTTAAAACAGCCTTCTGAGCCCAACCTCGAGTTTCTGACTCAGTAGACCTGGGTGGTACTTGAGATTGTGCATTTCCAGCAAGGCTGCTGGTACTGTTGCTCCAGCCCCAGGACCACACTTTTGGGCCATTCAACTGGGCTGAATTTTCCCCATGTCATTTCCTTTGTGCAGAATGGACTGGGGGATGAGTTTCAAGGGGTATAGATCCCCACATGTTCCTTGTGAGATAAAGGATATTAAGTTTCATTTCTTCTTTTATCAGACTTTTTTGTTATCCTCAGAAATGAAATCAGTACTATGTATTTTGAAAAGGTAAAGCTGGCCTTGTGCATAGATTTTTTTTTTTGCCCTAGCTTCCTATATAAATCCCCCTTTTATTGATAGTATTATTGCATTCAATAATCTTTTACTTATAATATGAAAACCAAATACTCCTCTATTGGGGATTTTTAACTTTAAAGTGAAATGAAATGCTTTTGTGTTTTGTTCACAGGAAGTTTACTTGATTTCTTAAAAGATGGTGAAGGAAGAGCTCTGAAATTACCAAATCTTGTGGATATGGCAGCACAGGTAGGCCCGGGGTGCCTGACATGCCACACTACAGCGACATCACAGCGTATCAGGTCCTGGTGTAATGGATGTACCTCTCCCCTGGTTTCCACAGGTCGCTGCAGGAATGGCTTACATTGAGCGCATGAATTATATCCACAGAGATCTGCGATCAGCAAACATTCTAGTGGGCAATGGACTGATCTGCAAGATCGCTGACTTTGGATTGGCCCGGCTAATTGAGGACAATGAATACACAGCGAGACAAGGTGGGCACCTGAGGGATGGTGACTTGTGATTACATCTTTGCAGATGCGGCAGCTTCCTACATGGCCCTTGCCCCTTCCTTTCCCTTCCTATAGAAAACACCTGGGACGCCATTCTTCTGCTGGCTTTTCTTTCTTCTCTTTGATCTGGCAGGAGTTTGATAGCTCTGCGGGTGGAAGACCGCAGAGTACATAGTGCATCAATACATGGATGATATATATTTACTGTGTTTCAGTGAGCAGGGTCTACTCCTAAGATCCTTCTGCTTATGCTGCCCTCCTCACAACATCCAGGCCAGGATGCTCTGCTTCTACACGAAAGGGTTATGGAAAGCCATGGGATAAGCCAAGTTCAAGCTTGTTGCTCAGTCAAATTCCCAGAAGCAAATAGGAGGCATACTTGAAATGGAGAAGTTGATAAAGGAGTCTTTACAAAGGCACAGGTAGGGTTTAGGAAAATCAGCAGGTCATGTGATGCCTCAGGCCTAGTGACAGCGACAGAGCCAGGGGCCCAGGGACACACTGAGATTAACCCTGACCTCACTTTCTAGCCAGCTTCTGGGCCTCCTGCCAAGCCAGCCAAACAAAGGTCAGAGGAGCCCTTTCATGAACTGCCATGAGTCCAAGGTGGGAGAAGGGTGGAAAGAAAGTCTGAAGGGACTGTGGATGGAAACAAGTCCCTCAGCCAGCTCTGTCTGCCTCTAGAAAAACACATAGAATTGGAACAGCCCAAGCCAGCAGCCACTGCAGTGCTGAGGTACCGAGAGAATGCCAGGTGCTAGGGAGGAGTTCCCAGGGGTGTCTTCTGTCTTCCTGGCCCTTCACAAATCAGCCCCTAGGAGACTATGGAATGAACTAGGAAGTCTTCAAATAAGTGTAGGCTCCTGCATCAATTCTACGGCCAGGAACTGGGAAAGGGAGTAGCCTTTGTTGCTGTTGTTAAGTGAAGTCACACATTCCAAGCAAAGCTGACCAGTGGCTGGAATACAGGACAGGGTGGTCCTTTCTATGGCATTTCATAATGGCCACCTCTAGAATTCTTCTCTGTTCCTTTTGATTCTTCATTTCATGCCAATTCTCTCTTCCTTTTATTAGACTCTGAGAATAGAAACATTCTCAGCTATCTCAAGTGATGAGGAAAAATGTTAAGCCAAGACCCTGGCTGCTACCTACCGATAGCAGCCAAATGCTTGATTACATGTTGGTCAGACAGCTCAGCTATTTGAATTTCCCAGACACGTGGCAGCGCTTGTCCCAGAGCCAAATGCCCGAGCAGCGAGCACACGCACGCAGATCCAGATGGCTGCTGAATCTAATCAAAGGCACCCAGCAGCCCTGATTGGCACAGCAGGGCAGAGGGGAGAGTGCTTCTGACTGCGAGGTGAGGTGAGCCGAGCCATCCCGGAGACCACAGACAGAGCCCTGCCCTGTGTGACCCTGTAGACCTGGAAAGAGAGCCAGCTGACACCACTCTGAGACTTGAAAATTCCTCTTAGGAAGGACTGGAATGAGATCAGATAAGCTTTCTTCTGTGTGTGTAAGTCTCAGTGCCAAGGGTGCAGTTCTTCTTTCAAACTCTGGAGTTTGTAGTTAGTGCCCTTGAGCCACTGATAAACAGGAGGGTTGTGGGACCCAGGAGCCAGGGGTGGGATTCAGCTCACACCTCATTCCCTAGGGGCAGCACTTCCCAGGCCTGTGCCCCTGGAGGTAGTCCCCAACTCCGCCCACACTGTCTGTCCTGAGGGTCTTTCTGGTGACTTTCCCCACTTCTACCCTCATGCCGTTAGGCCGAGAAGCTCTCTGAACTCTATCCCAGGGTCAGCCCCCTACCCGTCCTTCTACTTTCCCTTTACTTAATTTCCCAGAAGATCCCGGCCTTCCCTGTTAGAATGTTTGTTCTTCTTTCTTTCCTTTCCCAAACACCTTCAAACATGTGCCAAATACTGGAAGGACATAAGTAAGGAGAAATAAATGACCTGAAGGATTGGGGGGTGGGGACAAAACCTGTGGAGCCTCAAGATTTGGGGAAAATAAAAGAAGCACTGTCCTATGGCAGAGGAAAAGGAAGGGCAGGGCCATGTGTGAAATACCTCCAGGTACCCAGCCTGCAAGAGGGGCCGAGGTGTATGGGCAGGAAAACAACAGGAAAAGCCTCAGAGGGGTCAAGGCACTTGTACAGAGTCACACAGTAGGAAAAGGGAGGTCAGAACTTGAATCCAATTTTGTATAATTGCTTAACTCATTCACCTTCTTAAGCTATGCTCGCTGCCCCTCATCAAGACACTGACCAAAAGAAGAGAAAGTAAAAAGGAGAGTATTGGTCATAAGTCCCTTTTTCTCTTTTGTGGGAGAGTTTTTTTTTTTTTTTTTTTTTAACATTTATTTAGTGTGTGTGTGTGTGTGTGTGTGTGTGTGTGTGTGTGACCAGCTCAGCCCACCAGGGGGCACGGCTGGCTGGCATGTGGTGCTGGGGATCGAACTGCGGTCCCTGGGCTTTTCCAAGCTTGTTCCAAATAGGTGCTTTAGACCACTGAGCCATCTCTCCAGCCCTGTGGGAGAGTTTTAAGAAGCACCATCTAATGTGCATGTGTGAGGCGTTTTGAAAAACTTTCATTTTACAGTCCAAGGAAAACTGAGCTGCTTACAAAATTCCTCCCAAGGACCCACCTTGGCCCATCTCTCGGGAAGCAGAAAGGACCTAGCGTGTGCCTGCTGGTATATTCTGCAGATGGTGTGTGCGCTGCGTGCTGAGGTTTGCTGGGGATTAACCGACTCCTCCAGACAGCTGGTCCATGTGCCTAATATTTGCAAGTCGGGTTTTATGTTACCCGCAGGCCACAGCCATGCCCCATCTTGATTACTGGAGTGTAGGCAGTGTTCAGAATCTTGTGCCAAACAGAGATATTTTAGGACCGTAAATGACAGTTGTTTGCAAAACAGTTGTGAGTTTCTCATCTCAGAGTGCAGTGAAATGTCTGTCACCCCATCTGAGTGCTGAGGTATGATGGCACATGACAGAAGCATGGTTAGGATTTAGAGCTGTGTGGCACATGTGTCCTTTCCTCCTGCCACACCCTGCCTTTTCCTGGACTGTGAGCAGAAGCCCTGTGTCAGGGAAGAGGTTGAGACCTGACCCTGTGCCTATGGGGCTCGTCCTCCACTGGCAGCATTCTAGCAGGCACTAGAAATGATTTGAGATTGTTCGTTTTCTATTACCTGGATATCTCACTAAATTAGAGCAAAAAATTCTTGTCATAAAATTTTTGCTGAATTTTGCCCATTCAGGACTCAAAATAATGCTTATAATATAAGTTATTAGAGTGCCTTGCCTGTGAAAGGAACTTTGCTAAGAGCTGCTGCTAGAGAGAAGCCAAGGCCAGGTATGGTGCCCTATTGCTGAGTTGTAGCTATTAGGTAGGCTGCATGAGTAGATTGTTCGAGCTCAGGAGCACTAGGCCAGTGTAGGCAACATAATTTGAGACCATGTCTCAAAAAAAATTAAAAAAAAAA